CCAGATCACCTCCCAAGGAGCATCGGTACGAATTGTATTCGGTCTGGCGTGGCTACGGGTCGACCGGTAGCCTAGGTGTCGAATAGCCCCACGCATGGCATCAATGGAAATTGTGGATGTATGCAAGACTTTGGATAAGGCGCTGAGACTGAAGTAGAAGGGGTATTCTTCCCGGGCGGCGGGGTCGAGCCGTGGGATGATTGCAGAATACTCGTTCACGGGGATATCCCCACCGACTGTGCCAGTAGGTGTCTGATTGGCTTCGTCACTGGGAATTTCTAGATTCAGATCTTCTTCCATTGCTGTGGTCAACATTCCCTCGATCCGGTCAAGGGTGTGATACACGTCCCTATCTGCCTGGGGAAGCATATCAAGGATCCTGCGGATGAAGTGAGCATTATGAAGAGGACCAGCCCACATAGGACCGCTGAGGTGAGTCCTAGAGCCACAATGGCCACAACGACTATCTGCTACCGGACCCTGAGCGAAGCCGAAGTGATAGAACGGATTTCCTTTCTTGTCCAGCTTCTGTTTCGTCTGGGTTATAGGCTGAGTCGACCAAGCGCCACAACCAGCATCGCAGTTGTAGACCATCATCATGTTTCCAGATATATACTTGACTTCAGCTGGGGAGCGATGGACACGGACGAACACTCGGGCATAAAAATCGATCGATAGGGACAGAAGCGGCTCAATCGCGAGACCATATTTCGCAGCGGAGGCTGCAAGCCCGTGCAGAATGAGACGCAGGCCACCTTCGTGGCAATGCGGTCCTTTCACTGGAATTCCGCCATATAGGGCGAACGACTTCTCGGGATACCCGTACGACGCCCAGACACCTGCATCGGTACAGGTCACACAAAGAAGGCCGCCATCCTTGACTCCCTGGACCGCAGCATCCATGAACGGTGCAGCAGAGCCGTAAGGGTCCAGATCAATCACGTCGAATTTTCCTAGGTGGTTCTCGACAGTTGGGGTGTTGGCTTGTTGGTTTAAGAGACTGTACATGTAAGCGCGCGCATCCCCGGTGTTAGGACGGATCTTTTCGCCGAGACTATTGTATTTGATGTTCGTCTTCATGGATTCAATTGCCGAGGGTGACAGGTCGTTTGCGACGACGCAAGAGGTGAAAGGTATCTCCGAGGCATATCGCAGGGCACGCAGACCCGTAGCCGAGAGGGCGTCTAGAATCGTAAAAGACGGCGCCGTGTCCTGCTCTGCCTGCTGTGCTGCAGTCGGATTCCCTTGGCCTTGATTCTGATCCTGCGTTTGTTCCTTGACATCGACCTCTTCTCTCTTGCGCTTCTTGCCCTTCGCTAAGTCGCTCGCCGCAGCCTTTTGCTTCCTCTTCTCGGCCTTCTGTTTCTTCAGGGCCAGCAAATGCTCCCCATATGCGCGAATGGCAAGGACACTAAGGTCCCGATTGAACTGTTGGATAGGGTTGTAGAAGACTGATTGCGATTGCTCGTCAGCTTTGCGATCCCTTTTCGTACCGGGAGCCTGAGCCGGGGGGTTCAGAATGTACGCCAATCCTTCCTTCACTGCTCTGTACTCAGTGCCGTCATACTGTATCAATTGTTCAGCCATCTCCGCAGCCGATGAGCGGGTAGAGTAGACTCGGCGGAGTGGCGGGCGTTGTTGGAATCCTAGGGTGGTGCAGCGGGCAATTGCGCGATGGCTGCGGAGTCTGAAGTGGACTGAGAGGGCACGATAAAGGACACCAAGGTGTGGGCTCATGGACCCGGACTTTGGAAATTGACCTGGTGGTGACTTGGCTATGGGCTAGGCAATAGATGAACAGCAAGCAAGTCCTTCGTCTTTTTTTCTGCTTGTCGGGAAACTTTTTTTTGACTTCCGCCCGCCAACCTTTCCGATCAGCTAAGCACGGACCAACTCCCTACTATCTAACCACATAAATGTCATAACTATAAACTCAACTCATTCCCCTCTTCACATTCTATCAGAGCTGTCATTAACATTAATTCTTGCTTCTTGCTTATTATACAATCATATCGGCCGTTGCTCCCGTCCTTGAAGTATTATGTGTCGAAGCACTAACCGCTAGACCAAGAATGATTTATCGCGTCTGATCAGCCAGGCGACGAAGAGATATGTGTCCCCAAAACTATGTTTGTCCGAATCAATTTGGGTCAGAGCCAGGACCCAATGACGGGGACCTGGCTATAGATTTCATTCCATCCCTTGGCCTCCCAGCCATAACCTTGCCCCGTACGCCCGATGATGCCCAAGGCGCCTGCAAGCCATATGGATGCTCCCACCGCGGCAATGCCGTTGACCGTCCACCACATCTTCCTCTGTCGGCGGATTCGTTGTTCACTTTCCGAGGCTCCCAGATAACCCTCTAGGGAGCCCTTTTTTCGGTCACGTTCTTTCCGGACCGTTGTCACTCTCCAGCCCATCCATGCAGCCCAGCCGCCGACGAAGTGCCACACCCCAACGGCGACGAATAACAGATAGTATAGATTCCAGAGTGCGGGGGCCCGTGCAAAGCCGTGGGCCACATAACCCAGCCCGACTCCTGAGCTTCCCCCATCGACCATTAACGGAGTGATGCGGTTGACGAGCACATGGGCGCCAAGTAACGGAACCAACGAATATCCTAACCGAGCTTGGAGACTCATCCGAGGCCAAAACGTCAACGAGTGTCTCTGTGACCTTGTCTCGGCACCGTAGAGTCGCGCCCGCCGTGCGGAACGAATGTTGCGCAAAGCAATTCCGGACGCAATATGAATCAGAACAGGCGCGGTCAGGACGAGATGTTCGAGGCCCGGAGATTGATAGACGGGTCTGGTGAGAAGTAGGAAGCTCTCGCTATCGGGTACGGATCGAGTAGCCAGGGGGATGAGAGAGGTATTGGCCCAATGCAATGCAAGGAATAGGGTTGGTGGATACGTCGAGTATCGTTGAAAGGCAGACACTGGAGATATTGAGGTCATTGTTAGCTCCTAGGAACAACGTATATTCTTGCCATTATCACAATAGCTTGCATATACTTAGCCATACACCAGGAATCCCAACTGTGTCCGCGAAGACCTAACTTGAGCGATGAGAACCGACCACCCCCGGCGATGGGCTCGCGTGCCGATGGCGGACTTGGTTCTCTGGGGAAGTATTCACCAGATTCGAGGTCTGGAAACTCATCTTGGACTGGCGATGGGTCTAATTCTTGCATTGAAAATATGGAGCGCGTTTCGATATCCTCTGGTTTGGATGGCTTGCTTTCTTTTGAGGCAGCCATGGCTCCAAAAACAGCACCGGGCCACCAGGTGCTATGTTATATATGTCCACGCCAGGAGTCAGAATTAGGGCTGGTCAGCTATTACAATCAAACCGGCTGCGATGCGGTTGTCTGAATCCAGACCATGGTCGTTTGAACAATAATTCCTCGCTGTGATTTGGGGCAGCAGATTTCCTTGGAACTTGATCTCATCGACACTTTCTTGGTAAAGAACTGCTAGGCGATGATCCTCCGTATTAGAGGCCTCATGATTGGCCCGTTATGGTCGACCTCCCGTAGTCACGGTATTGCACCGGTATTGACGGTATCTAATCGAACACCAGTTCAAGCTCCTCTTCCGCGGGCGGTGGTTTTCTTTCGGCAGAAAGTATCGATCTCAAGGCGCAGTCGCTGATAGATGTATGCTACCTAACAAGTTACGACAACCAGAGGCTCAAACCATCACCGCTCAGCGAGCAAACAGCAAGTTTCCAGACCCGTACACACGCTCTTTCGCTGTCCGCGACAAAACCCTTTCCAAGCGTATCTGCGTACTCCTCATAGAACGATGGCGCCTGCAAGTGCCCAAATTCCGAACATTTCCCCTATTGAAGTTATATATATTCATAGCAACAAGTTCCCAAATTTTAGCTGACCAATGCGTCTACATACACAGCGAGGCTTTACCAATCCCACTCCCAAGGTGCGATTCAAGGCTTAGTTTCAAGAGCTTGAGGGATGTAAAGACCCGTGCTTTCATGCTAACTCAGGACCACCGCATCTCAAACTAGACCGAATCTGCGCGTTCCGCTCTGAGCTCCTTCACCTGCACGCTCTGCAACAAGTCTTACTCTCGCCATCCAGAATACGAGGCCCATATTTCTTCATATGACCATCAACACCGCAAGCGTCTCCAAGACCTCAAGCAGTTATCCCGGGACCCCAATGCCGCCGAGAAGGCCAGAAGAGCCGAACGGAAGGCCGACGCCGAGGCCGGGTTAAGGGTCATTGACACCCCCAAAGCTGCATCAGTATCTACTACGGGAACGGGATCTGGAGCAGGTGGAAGTACAGGGGGCGGGGGAGGGTTTAAAAAGGGAGGCTTCAAAAGTTCCTTTACCACTGTGAAAGGACCTGTGGCTCCTGCAGCTCCCACGAAGAAAAACGTCCTAGGCGGTGACGATGATGACAATGAAATTCCAGAAGCAGATGATACGAGTCTGCGGCGCGCTCGGAGCCAATCGACGAAACGCGAAAATATGCAGGTTGATCAGGCGGAGAGCGATACTGATGAAGAGTACGACGGGGATGGGGGTATGAATGGGGTGTATTACAATCCTCGAAATCCCACCGGTTGTTCCCCTGCGTGTGCTGGTGCTAGGAACGTTCCTCTAGAGACTTCCTTTGTCTGAAACGAGCATCATGCGGAGCACAGTACGGATGTGGCGATCACATCGACTATGTACTGTGACGTCAAATGGCCGATCACTATCCCAATTTCCTTTCCTAATGACTTGGATGCGTCCAATACGTATGTGGATGATGCTATCCAGAAACGAGACATTGCAAGCATGGAGGTGGTTTCTCAACCGTCTCTCTCCTTAGCCGAGGGTCGATAATCTAGTAATAGCAACGGCACCGGAGGAGCAGACCCGAATTCATCGCGGGCTCGTTTGTGGTGGCACACGCCAAGAGGAACAAAGCCAGATGCGATTATGAGAACATGCTACGGAAATTTACAACCATGCTCGAGCACATTAGCTTCTAAGAATGCAGAGTAACGTTGATTGTGTTGTATAGTCGTACAAAATCCAAGGAAGTAGGAGAGCGAGGTAATATGAGGGAAAAGGAGAAATGGCTGTAACAATGATAGGGTACTAGACACATGATTTTATTAATTCAGTTTTTCTTCACCGTCGGTTCATATACAACGGCTCATCCTTTACAGGCGCAAGAGCTTGGCAGCCTGGCTGACGATGGTGTCCTCCTGGGGGAAGCTCATGTTCTCGAGACCAACGGCGTAGGGGGTGGGGACCTCGGCACCAGTAACACGGACGGCGGGAGCAGTCAGGTAGTCGAAACCGTATTCCATGGAGAGAGCGAGGATCTCGGAGGAGACACCGAACATGGGGAAACCGGACTCGACGCACATGATGCGACCAGTCTTCTTGAGCGACTGGACGATAGTCTCAACGTCGAGGGGCTTGACGGAACGAAGGTTGATGACCTCAGCATCAACACCGTACTTCTGCTTCAGCTCAGCGGCAGCGTTGAGCGACTGTCCAACACAGCGGGACAGAGTGACGATGGTCAAGTCCTTTCCGGGGCGCTCAATCTTGGCCTTGCCAATAGGAAGAACAAAGTCATCCTTCTGAGCGGCCTCGCTCATGGGGAAGGCCTGACCGTACAGCAGCCTGTACAAGAATTGTCAGACTCAAAAACATTCCACAGATACTCCAATACTTCCACGGGGCTACGTACTCGTTCTCAAGGACAACAACGGGGTTAGGGTCGCGGATGGCAGCCTTCAGCAGACCCTTGGCATCCTCCGAGCTCCAGGGAGCGACAACCTTCAGACCAGGGATACTGCCGTACCAAGCAGAGTAGTCCTGGGAGTGCTGGGCGGCAACACCAGCGGCGAAACCGTTCGGTCCACGGAAAGTGATGTTGCAGGGCTGGATACCACCAGACATGTAGTGGGTCTTGGCGGCAGAGTTGATGATCTGATCGATAGCCTGCATGGCGAAGTTGAAGGTCATGAACTCGCACTAGAGATCGGACACCAGGTCTTAGTATATTGCGCATTTTCCCTCTGATGAACGTTGAATTTCCAGAGGTAACAGCAGATCCAGGAACTTACAATGGGGTGCAGTCCAGCAAGAGCAGCACCGACGGCGAGACCACAGAAACCGGCTTCCGTGATGGGGGTGTCAATGACCCGCTTGGGACCAAAGCGGTCCAACAGACCCCTCGTTACCTTGTAACTATAATAGTAGAGCGAATTCAGACATGCGATCTATGGACTGCAGCAAATTCAGACGAGGGACAGGGTGCCATACGCTCCGTTGTACTGCGCAACCTCCTCTCCAAGAATGAAAGTCTTCTTGTTGCTCTCCAGCTCCTCGGCGAGCGCCTCGTTCAGAGCATCACGGACAGTGACCTCCTTGGTACCAGATTCCGTAGCATATCCCCGGAAGCGCAGGATTGAGGGCGCGCATGCGGTCTGAGGGCGAAGGGGAGCCGAAGTAAGGCGCGAAGAAAGCAGACGAGCTGCTGGGCGGAAAAGTCGGGGAGCAGCCATGGCCGGACTGTGAGATAAATAATATAAGAAGAAGGAAGGGAGAAAAAAAAAAGCAAGAGTAGAGGAAAGGAGAATTACTTCACGGAAATACCGGTCTGTTGGACAATTGGTATCAAAGGAAGAAAGAACAGCCGATGGGGAGGCTCGTCACTCTTTTTCGGGGGTTCGGGGAATCTTTTTCGTCGACGAGGTTTCGGCGGAAGGTTGGTTTTTGGTGAGAAGCTTCGAAGGGACTTGTTGGGCTTAGCGCTGACTAAGCCGTGTTGCGGTTTTGCTCTTTCCTGACGGTCTCACCGGTCGCCTCCTTCCGTAGCCTCCGTTTTGTCTCTCTCTCGCTCTTTCCCTCTCTCCCTGGCGTCTCGTCGGGATCTTTCCCTCCGATAAGCACTTCTGGGCCCCCCCTTCCTATCTATCTGAACTATTCCGTTTATTTAGTTAGCGCCTATCCGTGATAAGCTTGGTGTCGATGCGTAAACCATCAAGGTACTTCCCTCACTTATCCATCTACCACCACGGGTGTTGCATGGCTAACTGATCCGACTCTCTTTCCATCCTTCTCACAATTAGAGAGAGAGAGTTTACTTGCGCGTGTCATTCATTACATTAATTGCTCGTTGTCGGTCGATACCTCTGCTTCGTATTTAGATATCCAATCCACAATTTCTGCTATCATTCTTCTCAATATCGTCCCTAAGGGAGCATGAGCATGAGCATGTTCAGCAGCTACTATATGCTCTTCTCTACATTAGTGACCTTTCTTCTATTCTTTATATCCCCCTTCGTTTATGCTGTACAACCGACTGCGCCCAAGCCCATCGAGGCTCCATTGCGTGACCTGAAATGGGGCCAGCTCAATTTCCTTCACACCACAGATACTCATGGCTGGTTAGCTGGTCATTTACAAGAGTATGGCGCTGAAGTCTTCTTCGGAGCCATTCCCAGGCCTTACTGATTTCCAATCCCTTATAGACCGTCGTACTCCGCTGACTGGGGTGACTATATCTCCTTCGCTACCCGCATGCGCGAGAAGGCAGAGTCTATGGGTGTCGATCTACTAGTCATTGATACCGGCGATAGAGTGGAAGGAAACGGACTTTACGACTCTTCAGACCCCAAAGGCATCTACATCTCGAAAATTCTGCGAGAGCAGCATATCGACCTGATGTCATCGGGCAATCATGAGCTGTACAAGGAATCCACAGCATCAGCTGAGTTCTTTACCACTGCACTCAATTTCGCCGGACACTATCTTGCATCAAACATAGACTTCTATGACCCACGGACAAACTCTTTCAGGCCATTGGCACCTCGCTTTACGAAGATCGTCACCAAGCAATTGGGCATCCGCATCGTGGCCTTTGGATTTCTCTTCGACTTCAAAGGAAATGCTAACAACACTGTCGTGCGGCCTGTGAGGGAGACAATAAAGGAGGCATGGTTTCAGGAAGCTATCAGGGACCATGAGGTGGACCTCTTCTTGGTGATCGGTCATGCCCCTGTACATTCGGAGGAGTATTGGGACATATGGCGAGAAATCAGATCTCTTCGCTGGAGTACACCCATCCAATTCTTTGGCGGCCATTACCACATCCGTGACTACGCAAAGTATGATCGAATGTCCTACGGCTTGGCCAGCGGTCGCTTCATGGAAACGATCGGTTTTATGTCCATTAGTGGCCTCCCGACCCACCGTCAGCCCGGACTGTCCGCCTTAGCGTCCTCCCTGTGGCCATGGGACCGTTTCCATTTCAATCGGAAATATATCGATAATAACTTATTGTCATTCTATCATCATACTGGCCTGAATGAGACCACGTTCCCCACGGAACATGGACAGAACGTTTCCCAACTCATTGAGGAATCCCGGAGCGCTCTTCAGCTGGATGAAGTGTACGGGTGTGCTCCTCGCGATTTGTTCATGTTTCAAGCGAAATATCCAGGTGAGGGTAATATTTATACCTGGCTGGAGACTGAAGTGCTACCCGTATCCGTGAGAGACGAATCTCGTGCTGGGACGCCAGCCGTTGTTATAGTCAACACCGGTGCCATCCGCTTTGACATCTTTAAGGGTTCTTTTACGAAGGATAATACATATATCGTCTCCCCATTCACAAGCGGCTTTCGTTATGTGAAAGATATCCCTTACTCCCGAGCCTACCGTCTCGCCGATGTGCTAAACCGGGGACCGGGAATCTTGACTGAGGGCGACCAATTAGACAATTTGACTTGGCAGCTTGCTCCCCCTGAGCAATCAGCATATACCCGTGGTGTATTTGGCAGCAGTGGTAGCCAATCAAGCGCTGGCTTCCTTACCAACCAAGTCCCATTCCTGAGTAGTGGAGATGCTGAGCCTGACCTAATTCCCGGATACACTACCCATGATGATGGAGGCAAAGATGGCGATGACACCATTCACTCGCCGATCGACTTCTTCCAGGTGCCGAATGTTATCAGGGGAACACCTCGTTGGGGTGCATCTGAACCCCCGGAAATAGTAGACCTGGTCTATATTGATTTCATCGAGTCTAACGTGGCTGCAGTGGCCCCATACGCTGGTATTGATGCAGATTTTTCTCGCGACAGCGACGTCTATATGCCAAATACAACATTGACCGGCTTGATAGAGGACTGGATAAAAGGAAACTGGCCCTGCGAGCAGGCATGAGCGTTCACCGTGAATCGCCTTTCAGTTGGTGGCTGGCGTATACATGCAAATTGTGCAATGACGGCCAACGGGCCACTATTTCCTTAGTCTTGTTCTTACTACCAGCGCACAAGCAATGAAACTAGCTGAGTTTTAGATAAAGAATACTAGTGGGTATGTGGGGTCTTCCCACTTGACTGGTAGTAATAGCTATGGATAAAATGTACTAGCTATACATCAACCGAAGTCATTCGACAGCCAAGAAAGCGTACTGTACAGATTCGGATTTATCGAAACACCCGAGTCAGAAGATGAGCTTGTAGCTAGTTCATTCCTGTTCCTCGTACCTGAGCAAGCCCTTGCCGCTGCGGTAACCGCTGAGGGTTTCCTGCACGCCTGCTACAAGCTCGGAGCCCTCCGTGTCCCATTTCCATTTGAACTCCTCAACGGGGATATCCTTGAACCTACCAGCCCGTGTCAGCTGCAGTACATCATTGATGGTGTTTTCCTTCAGCTGCGGATTCTTGTCGCCCCATTTGCTAACCCAGAAGCCATCGAAAACGAGGTTCTTGAAGATCAACAATCCCGACGGCAGAGAAACTGGCTGCTTCGACATGGCCCCGTAGGTGACCAGATGCGAACCTGGTGCGAGTGTTTTTGCCAGTGCGGTGGCACTCTTTCCACCGACACAGTTCAAAGCGAGGCGGATGGGCTCCTTCCCCTTGCGCGTGAGCTCATGTACAACGTTCCTGAATTCGCCTGAAAGCAACTCGGCCTCTGTAACCACCGCAGTCGCACCGAGATCTGTGAGTTCTTTCTTCAAAGCTTCTGTCTCCTCTGGAGTCTTCCGTTCCCGGACGACATTGAGGGTCTTGATACCCCACTCTCGTGCAAGCTGAATAGCAGCGCGTCCAACACCACTGTTTGCCCCGTTCTGGATCAACCAGTGCTCTCCGGCACGCATCCAGTCCCAGTCGCAAAAATCTTTGATCATGCGGTAAGCTGTTACTGGGTTGACACTAACCGTGCTGATCTGAAGTGGGGTCAAGCCGTCCTTGTTTTCAATTTTGATCAACTGCGATTCATCCAGCTGAGCATGAGTGCGCCAGGTGCCCTGTCCAGTCTGTTTCATGACAACCCAGTCACCCTTGCTGAGGTTTTTCACTCCAGAGCCGGTGGACAAAACCTCGAATGCGCCCTCATTTCCAGCGACAGCGGCCGGCTCCTGCGTACCGAGTGTCGATTGGAACGGTGGCTTGCTCGGGTATACACCCTGGATCTGATTCACGTCGGCAGGATTCAGCGGCGCAGCGAGCAGGCGGAGATTGACTTGAGTACCATGGGGCGCGGAGATGGAGTGCTTGTGAAGCCTGGATGACTGTCAGATACCTTGTCCCATTGTGCAATAGCCGGGTCGCTGAAATGTAGGATCCGACGCGGTGCGAGGACTTACTGCAGGACGTCCTTGGGCTCTCCGTAGCGCGAGTAGATGAGAGCCTTCGATTGCGTATACCCGTAGACCGAAATCCATCTTTTATCCCCAATCTGAGTATGAGGATATGCTCCTTGCAATTGGCGCTTGCTCACTGAGGCTATTTGCGATGCAGCTCCAGTTCTGATGGAGCACGCAGCGTGGCTTCCGGAAGCCCTCACCGCGGACCGAATCATACCCCCAGACATCATTGTAACCACAGTAAACTGGTATAGTCAGATTAGTCTGGTGAGATGAGAGAGAGGGTGAAGTCTCCACGACGATGCGGTCGCGAGGAAATTCCTGATGACGTCGTCCCTGCAGCCCTCGGGCCGACGGAGATGAAGACGCCGATTCGGGTATTCATTTTGGCCCTCTGGATTGACAGAGGAGGGGGATGAGTTCTGTCCTTGGATATTTACAGACAATCGTAAACACAGATGCAAGGGACATTGCTACCAAGACTAACCCATGTCTTCATGAGTGTGCGGCACTGAGTCTGGTCCTTGTTTACTATACGTCAAGTTCCTACTCAGCAGGCGCTGGAGCTTCGAGAAGCTCTCGAGTACCGGTATGGTACCGTACAGTATGATACCATGGAGAGAAAGCACTCACCGCCCTGTCTCGTCCACCGCCCGCGGGGATGTCCGCCGCATACAATCAATCGATCAATGAATCGATCAGTTTTCTAGAAAGCTTCCATTGTCTGGGTGGTAACCCTTTCTGTATAGAGCTACACACATCAATGTCGCTCTTGCGCGAAGCCGAGAAGTGCTTGGCTAATCAGGGCTCTCATGCGGCTCTAAATGCGCTAATCACCACTCTACATCAGTCCGGGCAATGGTTGGAACGTGTGAGAGATGCGGATGCGCGGCGCACCCGGGGTGAGTATGAAGGCTGCATTGCAACCAATCCTCGCTTTCTTCAGAGCTAACAAACTCGCTTCGCCAACTAGGAACGCCCAAATCCGAGGTAGACGGCCTGTTGGTCGCCGTTAAGGACAATATATGCACACGCGATCTTCCAACAACATGCGCTTCAAACGCTCTGGATAAATTCGTCAGTCCGTTTAACGCGACAGTTGTTCAACAATTGGAAGACGCAGGTGCCGTCGTGGCCGGCAAAGCCAATCTCGACGAATTTGGAATGGGATCCCACTCTATACATTCGAACTTTGGTCCTGTCAAAAGCTCGCGCCGTGACCTGCATGCCGAGTATCTCTCGGCCGGTGGTAGTTCGGGTGGAAGTGCGGTTGCTGTTGCGACAGCCCAATGTTATGCGTATGTAACTCTCCGGATCCGCCTTGAATCATAGGGCTAGGAACGGCTTGGCTTAACATTGCTGGGATATTTATAGAGCGTTGGGTACTGATACAGGCGGCTCCGTGCGATTGCCCGCCGCATATACGGGAACAGTCGGCTTCAAGCCTTCTTATGGGCTAGTTTCTCGCTGGGGAGTGGTTGCGTACGCCAATTCACTGGACACGGTCGGAGTACTGGGAAGAGACGTGGCCAGCGTTCGCCGTGTCTTCGGTATGTCTTGACTTTGTCGGAGTCCTCCTGTCTCGCTGCGTCTCGACTTGCTAACCCGTGCTCGTAACATAGGCGTGGTGAACCAGCATGATTCACGCGACCCCACTAACCTTTCTCCCTCCAGTCGGTCGCGGCTAGATTCACATCTTAGGATGCCTGCCTTGGCGTCTCGGACAAACTCTCCCCTGAGGATAGGAGTTCCAGTCGAGTACAACATATCAGAGTTGTCTCCATCTGCGCGACATGCGTGGTCTCGCTCGCTGGCCCATTTGCAGCGACAGGGCCACAGCATCCAAACGGTCTCCCTTCCAACGACTAAACTCGCGTTGTCGGCATACTATGTACTCGCGCCTGCTGAGGCATCCTCAAACCTGGCCAAGTATGATGGCGTCAGGTACGGGAGCCGCCCTGAAGCACCAGATGGGAATGCATCGTCAGAAAGTTATCTATATGCGAAAACACGAGGTGAAGGTTTCGGCTCCGAAGTCAAAAGACGGATCCTGCTCGGGGCATTTAGCCTAAGCGCTGATGCTATGGATAACTACTTTATTCAAGCACAGCGGGTTCGCCGCCTTGTTCAACATGATTTCAACACCGCGTTCAGGGCACGTCAACCCCTGATTTCTACGCAACTGGGATCAAATTCAGATTCTGCAGACGATGGTGTAGACGTTCTCATTTGCCCAACAGCGCCGTCATCACCACCACGCATTTCAAGCCTTATCGGACCCGATGCGACAGCTTCGCCCTTGGAGGCATATACGAATGATGTTTTTACTGTGCCTGCTAGTCTGGCAGGCCTTCCAGCCATATCTGTACCGGTCACTACAGAAAGCGCTGGTGATGCCGAGGATGGAGATTTGGCCGGAATCCAGATTATTGGTCAATACGGTGATGATGAGCTTGTGTTAAAGGTTGCCGAGATGCTCGAGGGCAGGCACCTATGAAAAAACTTTTGTCTCCATAAATGCGAATACCCCAGACCCCATTCATAGACGTCTATATGTATACAGTTAACTATGTTTAAACTAGAGGAATTCTGCGCCAGTTCTCCTAACAGGTGTTGCTGTAGTTCGTATAAAACCTTGCAAACTGAGATGTGCTCAGGGTTCGGAGCGCAAAAAGAGGGAACTATTGCAGACTAGCATAATATGTATACTTGTTCAGAGTTCGAAGTCGTACTATAATTCTACCAGCCCCGTAAGGTGCCCTTGTCACAGGTCGATCATTACAACACCAACCACCCTGAATCAAGGCCGGTGTAGTAGGTTGGGTTAGGGATGCTAGACGTAATCACGTAACCAGTGGCCGAGGCGTTGATGGTATGGCGTTCAAGACATCTCAACATCTCCATCTCCAGTTGACGCGTCGGGTATTGTAGTCTGAGGTGCCTCTGGGACCGTGGCATCGGCGCTCGTGGTGTCTTCAAGCGTGGTCTGGCCTGAATCTAGGTCCATGACACTCCCGGCTTCGTTGCCATTGCCAGCGGGATTAGCAGCAGCCTCGGTTTGACCGTCGGCAACTGGAGGAATAGCGGACTCATAAGCCGCACTGACACCACCTTTCAACACCTCGGAGCCACCAACTGCCCCAGTTCCAGAGCCATCGATCTCTGCATTGTTGACAACGTTGCCATCTACTCCGCCCCAGACGCACATCGCCTCAACCTCGTCCACGATATCTGCAATTATGTCCTCAACTATTTGCTCATTGAATCGTTCGCCAATTCCCCGAATTGGCTCGCCGTTGTCTGTATGAGATGGCGGGCCCACCCACCATGGCCCGTCGAAGCGGCATTCAACCGCGCCTCCGCCGTAGCAGCTGACAGCGGGATAATAACCGATCATTCCATCATCTGCATTCTCGCGCTCACCGATGCCCAAGTTATTCGTGCCATTGGCGAGTCGGCTAGCCGGTGGTAAGAAAGCATAGAGTTCTTCGAAAGGAGTGCCCATCTTCACACCGTTCTTGTATATCGTGATGCTTGAACCGGGTAGAGTCCGCAAGGATGCATCCTC